TAAAAAACCAAACCCCCTCAACAACGCCCTTCGCCCTCTGCTAAACTTTTTTTAACTCCACCCTTTCCTAATTTCCCACCCGAATTTTCTGCAAAATATTTACACCCCACTTTGCCCTTGACAGGACATCTCCTCCCTCCAACTCCCTCCTTGTTTGTGTATTCAAACCCAACTTTAACCCAAATAAGAGTGTTGATACACTAAAATTTTCACTTTTCCCCTCTTTGCCTCCATAGATAACGTTTTTTTTTCCACATATCCCTCAACGCACCATCACTTTTTTCCCCATAATTTTCTAGAAAACCTATCCCAAAAAACATCCGCCGAACGTCAATAAGTTCTAAAACTTTTACTTTTTCCCATATCCCCCTCCCCAATTTGATATCTAATTTTCTTTATTTAAAATCTTGATCCCCTATCCCCTTTACTCTTTTCTTGTTCATTTCAAACTTTTTTCCTTTACGACATTCCCAAAAATCTTCCACAAACCTTTGCAATTTTTCTTTAGAATCCAAAAGCAAGTACATCGAAAAAAGAAACCTGCAATTCCCATTTTGTATTTAATTCCCCAAAATTTAATCCCCCCCCTTCCTGAACACCCAGCATTTACTTCTTTAAAACCCCATAAATATTTAAAATCAGGTGCATTACGCATCCGTCTAAGATATTTTTTATGGGAAGTAGTTCCCCTCTTCTGCCCCCCAAACCTGAGCTCAATCCTAAAAAAAACTTTTAATATTTATAATTACCCCCTTTTTTTGTCTTATATAAATTAGATTCATTTAAAATTTAATAATTACTGTAAATTGTTATAATTCTTATTTTAAAGTAGCAGTAAGCCAATAATTTTTAATGGCCCCATATCCCTAGGATAAAAAGGTTCTTGCATTGAAAACCCTTTATTGAAAAATACATAACCCCAAGTACTATTTGAAAGAATAAAAAATGAATAAAAAAATAAATAAATAGCAAAATTCACTTGTGTCATCAAATTTAGAAAAAAGGGGAAATTCCCCCCCACTTATCCAAAAAGATGCGGGGTCATAGTCGGGCAAGCACCCTTGGGTAAAGTGGCACTCCCCCCCCAAGAGAGAGCCCCCCCATAGGCACAAAACCCCTCAAGCCTCACCACCACATTAAAAGGGCCCCAGCATGGGGACCAGGTTTTGGGAATCCAAGGAAAAAACATTCACCCTCACTCATTTAAAAAGCCACCCTTGGGAAAGGTGCAAGCATGGATGTTTTTAAATGATACTTAAACATATTTCAACTTTTCTGTAATCAAAGGAAATAAAAAAATTAATTTCTTCTTTTTAGCTTTAGGATGGTTTTAGACTTTAGTGGGTGACCTACTTTAAATACCACAAAAATTTATTTTTTGCATAAAAAAATGAAATACCAATTACATTCATGTTCTCAGTAACGTGGCAACACCAAGTAAGATGGAAACTGCCCCGCACTGTTTTTTTTTATGCGGATTTATTATTTTAATTTATTAAAAATCCCCCTTAAACATTTTAACAAAATTTTAACGCACTTTTCTGTACCCCAAAGTAACAAAAATTTCAAATGTTAGAGAATAAAAAATGCGAATTATACACTAAAGATTTTCAGTACCTCAATCAAGGGGGTTTTTTAAAATGGGTGTTAAAATAGAAATTTACACTCTTCAGAAGTACGAGGAACAAGATTTCCCATTTTATTTGATTTCCCTTTTCATGTTCTATTTTATCATAAATGAATAAGGGGGGCATGAACCCGGAACAAACTACAGCATAAAAAGAGGGAAAAGTATACAAGGTCTAACCCTTTAAAAAAAATTTTAAACAACAAAAAAGCCTTTGGGAACTATTACATCTTTATTTTTTTTTCCTTTCTTGGGAAAAGTACGAATAGGAAAAATTTAAATGAAGGAATGAATTATAAAAACAAAGACTCCGCCTGTAAAGAAACCCGCTGAATCCCCGGACAGTTTTTAATTATTTTTCACTGTTTTTTCTATCAAAGTTTTGCGGTTGTATGGAGCTGATTAATTACCAGCTGTGTTGGAAGAAGACGGTGGAGTTCGGGGCATCCCGAGTGTCTGCAAATAACGTATGCCGAGACGTTTGCCGGGGTAAGCTGTTGGTGAAAGTCGCAAATCTACTACTTCTGTTAATAAAAAGTGTGAGCGTGGACAATAAACTTCCATGTACTTTTGAAGTTCTGAGTACCTGAAAAACCATTACAGTGCCTTTTAAAGTTTCCTTGTCTTAAGTTGCAAAAATAAAAAAAAATCACAGTAAACAAATGAAAATTAACATCCTTAATTTTTAACTTTTTAAAAAAATTTGTCTTCCTTTTTTTTTTCATAGGCTTTTGCACATGGGAAATACCTTTTTCTTCAATGCTAAGGGAAACCCTTTTTTTCCGGGGAAAATATTAAGTGCATACCTATACTAGAGAAATGAAGGGAAGTTTTTTTCTCATCTTTTAATTATTTAATTATCAGATTTTTTTTAACTTTTTTCACAAAGAAATTTCTAATATCCCTTATGGTACAGCAGGGCCCCCCCTTTATGGGTTTCGCTTTACGGGTTTTGCAAAAAAAGGAAATTTTTAAAATTTGACCAAAACTCGCTAACGGGTCCCCCCCCTGTCTTTCTAAAACGGTCACAGGGCCCCCCGGTTTTTTTTCATTCTCCCTCAAATTCCTTTTTTTGTCTGGAAACTTTCCAAAATTTCAAGTGTTTTAAAGTTATTGATTTTTTATATGTATTGTACTTGATAATTAAAATTGTGACACCTGACCTAAAAAACTTAAAACTGTGTGGAGTAGGTACACTTAAAATACTAAGTTCTCTACTCTTGATGCAATAATAATAATAAAATAATAATAATAATAAAATAATAATAATAATAATAAAAAAAAAAAATAATCTTTGGGCGCATTAAAGTGCATTTACGTTAATATAAATTCCCCTTAAACTATCTATGATTTTTTTTTCAAAAATTTTTAAGAAAACCCTTATGTAACACACAAAAATGATACATGCACCCACAGTAAAAAATTTATAAAATATAATTAGGGTTTACCAACGGGTTTTTAGAAGTGTCGGGGAATTACGTTTTCTCTAGCCCTCACTGTTATAGGTAATGTAGAAAAAAATTACTTTGTATGCCTTTCCCTTTTGCTATAATTTTGTACTAATTGTACAAGGGTTTAAAAGTATTTTTTTCGTGATTTAATTATTTTAATATAATGAAAATTATAAAGGGAAAATTTTAAAATCTTACAAATGTACATGAAAAACTAAAAAGGGCCTTTTAATACCGTCTTTTCCCCTGCCGAGTGATCGCCCCAACCTGTTCGTTTGTTTACGCTGTCTCCGGGTATCATTAAATTTTTAATTACGTTAAAAAACATTTTTAGTTAACCCTCCGTGATATTTTTTTTAAAAATTATATAATAAAAAATACATAACTAAATACAAACAAATGTGTTTGGGGAAACCCAGGATAACCCAAAAAAATCAGTGATTACTTTCCCTTCCCTTTACTCAGGCCATTTTTTCTCAAAATGATGTTTCATGAGAATGGGAGTGTTCTTCTTTATTTTTTTACCGATCAATGTAGGAAAACCCGTACACAATGAATTGTACACAAAAACCCGACGGTCGCTGTTTTTCAAAACTTCCCTTTTTTCTTTGGTTGGTAGCCCGGTGATACCCTAAATACCACACTTTATTTTTTACAATAATATATCATCTACCCTATATTTTAAAGGGAAGTAATGGTGAACTGAATACATTTTTTCGCTCTGGGGTGCTTTAAAAATCATTTGAAAAGTATGGTGGGTGGGGTTTGGCTGGTTGGGCCCGGCTGACACCTCTACCCACTTGATTTTTTTACAATAAATACTACTCATTCATTTTTTAAGGTAAGTAATGAGTTAACTGTAATACATTTTATCGCTCTGGGGTGTTAAATATCTAGAAAGTATGTGGGTGGGGTGGCCTGGTATGGGGTGGCTGACTACCAACTACCACACTTGATTTTTTACAAAAAATATCTTGTCTCACCCTAGTTAAGACTATAAAAATTTTTAAAGGGAAGAATGGGTGCACTTTGGTATTGTACTTTTTTTTGTTTTTTGATGCTGTTTTATTGCTAACATAATATATGTTGTGTAAATTGTTATCTAGTGTTTTGTACATTTGTAATGGAAAAAAAAAGGGGGTTCCACATTCGGCGGGTTTCGCTTTACGGGGGTAGCCGGAACCAAAACCCCCGTATAAAGGGGGCCCCCCTGTATACATAATCCTTTGGGCATACCGACCCGCTGGGCTGTGGTTTGATCGGTTTTGGCGGACACAGTAACAGCCTGGTTGATCATGCCCTGATCCACCATGAGGCTTGGTCACAGACCGGGCCGCAAGGGCGTTGACCCCTGAAACCCTCTCTAGGTATACTCCCAAAAAACTGCCTCCATAGCTTGCTTAAATTTTTCATACAGTACTGATATGTATTCTTCTAATTTTACTTTCCAGTGCACTGGCTGCATTCTCCTCTTCATTACCATTTGTACTTCAGTAATATGCATGCCTTCTGAAACATTACTGTAAAAACCTATTTCCTTTTCCTCACAACAAAGCACAGAGGGCAATCATAATTCGTGCGAGTTGTGTTCCTGAAAAGTGTACTACTGATTTCCTCAACTTATGGACTGAAAACATATGGGCAAAATTATATATAAAAACCACAAAAAAATATAAATTAAAATAATAATGACCAGAATTGCTATTCTATGCTGATTATAATACAACTGGTATATAAAGAAAGTGCTACAAGAAGGAATGGCAGTGGTAAGTCTGAATATGGGACAAACTGTACAAAATGGCATACAAATTTGTAAAGATTTTTTTAATATAATATGCTGTTATAATTTGGCCCCCATTATCCACAGTTCCCTACATAGACTGGGTCATACATGAAATAAATGAAAAGATTTCTTCCTGTACTATGTCCATGGAACTTGCTGCAGGTTATATTAGTTTTGTATCTTCGTACACTAACTGAAAAGGGCATGCATATATCAGTATAAGCACTTAAAAAGACAAACTTCTTTTTTGTGTCATAAATGCTGTAATCGTCTAGCGAGGAGGACTTACCTGTGTAGCAGTAGTTGACCAAAATGAGCAGAGCATCAGAATCCATGTCCCTCATGGCCACCTCTTCCTGAGTGGCCTCCAACACAGGAGATGTAAACATAGCAGCAAAGTAGTCACTTGCCGCACTCAACACTAGTCGGTGAGCTCTAATGCGTCGATTCCCTGTAATAAAAAAATGCATGGTGTTCCAATAAGAAATCTCTATACAGGAGGCTGAAGCTTTGCCTAGATGTATTTGGGAGTGAGTGTGAGATGGTTGGAGCTGGAAAGGAGGAAAAGGATACCAGCAGTGAATTGGTGAGTAGCAGCCACTTTAAATGGCAAATGGTTTAAAATTCAGGAAGAAGGAATATTAAAAGAGAAGATATGGAGGTAGGAAATCAATTCTCTGTTCTCCATGATGAATGTACTTCAGTGGTTAGTGATGTTAAAGATACCACTGACTTCCCTGCTTATCAAGGTAAGAATATTCTGATTGTGGGAGACTCTCAGGTAAGATATATGGACCATGCTTTCTGTAATAGAGATAAGGAAGATCAGACAGAGGGTGTGCTTCCCAGGAGCTGGTGTTAGTGGCATAGTCAGTAGGTTGGATAATATGTCAGGTAATGGGAGCAAGCCCATTATCTGTCTTAGTGCTGGTGGCAATCACATCGGGAAGGGCAGGAGACAGGAGCTTGCTGGATAAGTACAGGTCAGCCATAGAAGTAGTCTGGTCTAAGGGAGGGATCTCAATCATATGTAGCATCTTGCCTAGAAGGGAAGTGAGCAATGAATGGATGTCTGGGGCAACTGGTATAAATTGCTGGCTAGACAGGTACTGCAAGGAACTTGCAATCCCATTCATTGATAACTGGGACAAATTCTATGGCAAACATGATATGTATGCAAGGGATGGGGTTCATCTGTCTGGGGCTAGAGCGGTTGCATTAGCCAATTCGATTGACAGGGGTCACTGATGACTTGTCTAGGATTTTAAGCTGATAGATTATAGGGGTATGGGTGTCTGTGGGAAACAATCAGGCTGCAGTGCTAGGGTTGAAAACAGCAGTTATTACCAGGAAACCCCAGGGACATGCTTAGAAGACTTTTTTTTTTTTCATCAAGTTGGCCGTCTCCCACCGAGGCAAGGTGATCCAAAAAGAAACAAAATCCCAAAAAAGAAAATACAGTGGACCCCCGGTTCGCGATATTAATCCATTCCTGAGAGCTCATCGTGAACCAAAATTATCGGAAAGCGAATCCATTTTCCCCATAAGAAACAATGGAAATCAAATTAATCCGTGTAAGACACCCAAAAGTATGAAAAAAAAAACTTTTACCACATGAAATATTAAGTTTAATGCAATAGAATAATTACAATAACAACAATAACAATAGAATAATAACAATAGAATAATTGACACTTACCTTTAATGAAGATCTGGTGATGATTGATGGGATGGGAGGAGGGGAGAGTGTTGAACCTATTGTTTAGAAGGGGAATCCCCCTCCATTAGGACTTGAGGTAGCAAGTCCTAATGAGTAATGTAGGTCCTGCTTGGCAATTTCTTCCAAAACAGGCCTGTTTTGTCACAATTAAACACTTGTTCAGATTTCAATCCTTCAGCCTCTATGTACTCCTTGAACTCATGCACATATTTTTCAGCCGCTTTGTGGTCTGAACTGGCAGCCCCACCATGCCAATACACTATGTATGCACTACGATTCTTAAATCTTTCAACCAACCTTTGCTGGCCTTAAATTCACTCACATCACCACTAGTTGCAGGCAATTTCTTTACCAAATCGTCGTGCAACTGATCGCTTGAGAGATGATATCTCCTGCTATCTGTTTTTCATTTATCCACACCAATAACAGTCTCTCAACATTTTCTAACACTTGCGGTCGCTGTTTCGTAATCACAGTTACACCTTTTGCAAGAACAGCTTCCTTGATTGCCGTTTTCCTGGTCACTATAGTAGAGATGGTTGAGTGGGGTTTACTATACAACCTGACCAGCTCTGACACACACACTCCACTTTCATACTTTGCAATTATCTCTTTCTTCATTTCAATAGTCATTAGCGTCCTTTGTCTCGAAGGGTTGGCACTAGAAGCTTTCTTGGGGCCCATGGTGACTTATTTTGCAGAAACAAGCACCAAAAACAGTGATAATACGGATAATATGGAATGTACCAAATGTATCCTTAGATGCGCGCACACTGGCTGGCTTGTAAACACTGGCACACACGGTTCAGTTCAGGCCACATGTGGACACATCTCGTATGAATCACATCGCATACCGGGTTTTGTAACGGGAACCGAGGCAAATTTTCTGCAATATAATGCATCGGTTACCGGATTTATCGGATACCGATAGCATCGTGAACCGGGGGTCCACTGTACTTTCATTATCATTCAATACTTTCACCTCATTCACACATAATCACTGTTTTTGAAGAGGCACCCAAATACAACAGTTTACAAGCATATATATAAATAACATATCCCTCCAAACTGCACTATCCCAAACCCCTCCGTTAAAGTGCAAAGAATGTACTTCCCATTTCCAGGACTCAAATCTGGCTACATAAAAATAACCGGTTTCCCTGAATCCCTTCACTAAATATTACCCTACTCCCACTCCAACAGCTTGTCATGTCCCAAAAACTATTTGTCTCCATTCAATCCTATCTAACACACACACACACACACACACACAGGAGGAAAACAACAGTCAAGGACCAGGTAATCAGGCTAAAGGGAAGGAAGGAGGAGAGACAACAAGAAATGACCGTGAAGTATGTGAAGAACTCAACAAGAGATTCAAAGAAGTGTTCACAGAGGAGACAGAAGGGACTCCAGAAAGACGGAGAGGTGGGCACACCACCAAGTGCTGGACACAGTGCAACAAAAAGAGGAAAAAGTGAAAAGGGTTCTGAGTGACTAGATCCTCAAGGAAAGGGGCCCGATAAATTCCCCCTGGGTTTGGAGAGGGGAGAGAGACGGTATGTGTACCCCCCAAAATATTCAATCATGTCATCTATTGAAACAGGGGGATTGC